ATTAAAACACAAAACATTACAGAGCCTATTACACATACGACTTAGCACATTCAAATTTCTGCTTGACCTTGCATTTGACATCATTTGAGATTTTATAGTCTTGTTCATATAAAAGCTACGGGTTCCCCGATCCTCTTGCATCCACTGCACTATTTATCTTGAGATGACTATTATATAGTTACAGCTTGCACTTTTATTATATGCAATCATATATTTTATAGAGATCTATATTTGAATTTGGAACTTTTAAATTTGAATTCTTAAAACTCTAGTTTTAATTTAGAAGTACAAAAAGTAATAATTTACAAAAACTTTTAAAAATGTACAGTGTATGAGAAATAGCAACACAAAACAAATTAGCACCATAAGCATTACTAACATCATCTCCCATATACGTAAGTGTATGATGAGAACATAAACAAAATTATCCCACTTTTACTTTCAAAGAACTGGTAATGAAATGGGATATAATTAAAGTAAGGAATGAGAAATCATGAGAATATAAATCATAAAATAAGTTTCATAAATCCTTAAGGAAAAAAAAAAAAACTCGAGAAAATTGTTACAAAGAAATTTGACTCTCAACTTGATTTGGAAAAGCATGGAGGAGAATATTATAATAGCAAAGAGAGGATTCTTAAGAACATCGTCATTCCTTAAGTACTATATATAAATTTAAATAGGCTAGATAATATTCCGTAGGGTGGAAATATTCCGGACAGGGTAAGCCATAGATTAATGGGGATTTGAAATGATAAAGATTAACATGCTTAGGACGAGAGTAATAAAACCTTATATATTTACTAAGTGAGTGATAATGTTGCGGAACCGAGGAAACGAACAACTTGTTTTGTTCGATGTAGCAAACCAAAAGACACGACCGTGGGTACCTTTTTCGAACATCTTGTAGAATTTTACTTGGTTTTTTTTTACAAATATAAGAAACTATCTAAATCATTACTCCAACACACTTCATTCTAAGGCTTCTATTCTTGTGCAGAAAATGACTACATGAGGTACACTTGAGAGATTAGAATCCTTTGTCTAAACTTTGTATCAATTTCAAAATATCTGAAAATTCTTGAGGTCAACTACAAAATCTACTTTTGAGACTAAAATTTTTGCACTAGTTTGGCCTACACCAAGAATAATTCCCAAATAACTACACACCACCCCCCACCTCACGTATGAATGGAACTACAGATAGTGAACCCTACATGAGCAGGCTTTTCTCAAGAATTGGAAATATATAAAACCTTAAGTACTGATACATTCCGGTTTTCACATATATAAGAAGGGAATGGAAGAGGGTAACAATAAATGTAAGGAACACAATTTGATATGGGCAACAAAGAGACACAACCAGCATATACATGGCTTTATCATGCTACTTTGATTTCACATCTTCGTCTTCTTCTAATCTACAACTAAGAGCTCATACACAAAAGTCACAATGCTAGAGCTAATGAAAGGGTTGTAATGAACTGAACTAGAACATCTTGTACAAATACTTAGACCTTGAATTGATGGTGTAGTTGGGTATCGCTATAACAGTATGAATGCTTAATCGTTTGCCTGAAAAAGTTACTTTTAAATGAAAAAGAACTGGTAATGAAACGGGAAATCAAAGTATATGAATAAACTTGCACAAAATGATTATCCAAGGAAGAACAAAAAAAAACAAGAGATTGTTACAAAGACATTTGATTCTCAACGTGATTCGGGAAAGCATAGAGCACATCCATCGATCTGAGCCTAGATGTGTCCTCTGTGATTCCTTTAAGTTCGAATCGTCTACAGCTTTGTTTCACCGGATCATATAATAAAATATAACTCATCATTTCAAACCCGGATACTTCGTAAATAAACTCACCAGCATGAGTTGTCAAACCAGCAGGTATTCCAAAATGAACAGGTAAAACATCTTTACGCGACCACTTGTGTTTCTTTGCATCCTCCAAAATTAAAAATGTGCTACAACTCTTCCCTCTAACTCTACCACTCTTCATGATACTCATTCGAGCACAAGCTAACTTCCCTTCATAAGTTATGAGAACACTTTTATCATGATTAGTATCCGATGGCAATTGTATCATATCGAAATTTTCAGATTTGACATCAAAGCTCATCACAACCCAAACACGCGTATCATTAACTTGGGCTTTATAATATACAACCCCCTTGATGCATCGACCAGAAGACTGACTTTTTGAACGATGCTTATAGCGAGTTTTTATTGTTCTACTTCTCCATGATTCTTGAGCTGATCCCAAACTTAGCACCCGGCATTTATTAGAAACTCTACAAAGAGGTATGCACATTACTTTGTGTTTACCTTGAACCGGATCGTAACCTAAAAAAATATTAACGTCATTCCAGCTAAATTTTGGTTTGGGTAAAGTTAATAGCTGTCTTGTACTAGGGTTCCAAACTATAGGCGTTCCTAATACTTTAAAGCAGATCAAGCCCTCGACAGATTCCGTAGAGAAGTTAACATATCCTTCAGGGAGTTCCATATGATGCCCATAAATAGACTGATAACAAGAGTAAGACCTTTTGGAATTCTGAAGTGAATGCCGAAGTTGTGGAATCGAGGCAACAAACAACTTTTCATTTTCAAAGAAGCAAACCAAAAGACTTTGCTGTGGGGACCGAGTTTCGAACAACTTGATGAAATATGGATCTTTGGTGATTGATAACCAAAGCTTCGAAACACAACGAAACCTCGCAACAGATTTCTCAGGCAGCCTTGAGAGTATCTCTGAGATTAGATCTTCAGAAGTCCATCCAACTATTTTTGCTCTTTTGTATCTTTAAAGACAAAACAATCATAAGATCGAGCTTAGTATAGTTAGTATTACATACAAAGTTAGATCATCTCCAATGGTCATAATTCATAAACGACCAAACGACTAATCACATATATATATATATATCATAACTCATGACCGCAATTATAAAATGATTTACACAATTCAGAAACAGCAAAGAGAGGGGACGAACAATAACATACCCTCGAGCAAAGTTAACTGCAGAAGTAGGAGTAACTTGGGTGCTGATATCAGTTTCGGGTTCTAAACGATTATTCAAATCTGTCTGTTGGAGACTATTCTTGTTCTTTTTCTTGTGTGGCTTCATCTTTAGTCGTCCGATCCAAAACCCTAATTTTTAGAGGCTGTGTTGCTTTTGACCTTTTCTTAATATATATTCATCAAAATATCAATACTCTAGGTTAGCCCTGGGCAAAAAGCCTGTACCCAAAGCCCATACTCGAACCCGGCCCGTACCGAACCCGAACCCAATTAAAGAGGATACTCGCTTGTGTGATTATTCGCTTTTGTAGATCTTCTTGTTCTATGATCTTCTTATAGTATAGAGCTTGTGTGATTATTCGCTTCTGTATATTTCTGGTGGGTCAAATGTAGATCTGTCCCAAATGTGTCAAACAGATTCTTTCTTACACATATAAATATAATTAGAGACTTTGGATCAGAAGATGAAGACAAGAGATGACTTGGACAACTAAAGAAGATATAAGTGTTTACAATAATTTGTTTGACTCAATCTAATTTGGGGTGTATAAGGAAACGCATGAACGTGTGGCATTGTACCAAAGTGGGTTTATATACATACACATGCTGGTTTTGCTGGTTTTCTATTTTCTGGAGTTCTATATATGAACTGTTTGATTTAGGTCGCAAGGCTAAAGTATAGAGTTGTGTTTACTGGTTAGATGAAGCGTAAGGCTAAAGTATAGAGTTTTGTTTACTGGTTAGATGAAGCGTAAGGCTTCCATGTGATTGTATGTAATACAGTTCTCTGTACTTCTATCTTTAATATTATCGAATATATAAGTTCTATTTTGGCTAAAAAAAAAAAATCTCTGTAAAGGTTAGTGGGTTTGTTTATTTACGAGAAGTCAGTTTTAGTTTTATAGCTTTTGGTCATATTAAAAAAACTAGCTTAATAGTTTTATAGATTCTTAGTTTTATGGTTTCTTTGTTTTATAGCTTTCACACACCGTTGGGAACTTGGGAACATATAAAAAAATTGTTGGTTGATAGAGAGTTCATGGTATTTTCTAGCTTAATTATACTTAAAAGACATCTCCTTTATTTGGTTAAATTTGAGCGTCGTCCTCCTCTGTAACTTGAGTTTTTTTTAGAGAAGTATTTTTTTCAGTCTTAGAGTTGAGTGTGTACCGGGGTTTGAAGTATTGAAATTTGGATTTATAAAAAAAACGTGTGTTCTTATAAAGTTTATTGATAATAGCCAAAAACAAATTGACACTTTCACAAAGGCCAACGTTTTTATACAAGTATGTGTGGTTACATTAAAATTTCTGTTTTTTGTTTAAAATATTATTGGTTATTACGGTTATTTAGAATCCGAGATAAAACCGAACCCAAACCTGAAAAACCCCGCCCGAACCCGAGTCCGCCCGAAAATATATATATATACCCAAATGGCCTTTAGAAGTCCAAACCCGAATACCCGAAATCCCAAAAAGCCCGGCCCGAACCCGAACGGTTCCCCGAACACCCAGGGCTACTCTAGGTTTTCTTTTAAAAAAAGAAGATAATTATCACATTTTTACGGGAAACGTAAATAAAGAAAAAAAAATCAAAAAGCCATAGATAAAAGATATAGTAAAAAATATAAATTAAAATAAAACAAAAAAAAATGTATAAGAGTTCTTCATTATAACTCAAAGAACTCAAACAAAAAAAAATGCAACTTACCAATCAATAATGAGAAATTTTGACTAATTCCCTTTCTTAGATACCTTTTTGTAAAAATACTGTTTTGTCATTTTGATTTTTATCCTCTTTTACATAATTAAAATATGTTAAAAAAAAAATTTATATGTTTAGATACCTACTATTTTATACTTATATAGGGTATAGTTTTGACGGGATAGGGTTTAGTATTTGGAGTTTTGAGTTTATAATTTAGTCATTTTGTATATAGAAAATAGTATTATTCAAAATGGACAACAATTAAGGGGGGTGTATTCAAAGTAGCATTGTAAGTGATTTGAGTTTTATTGAGATTTTAATGATTTTAGAGAACTTCATATGATTTTTGTAAAATCCTTTCAAATCCCACCTAAAACTAGAGATTTGGATTCTTGTATTTTTAACTAAGAAAGTTCTTTAAATCCTCTGAAATCCTCTCAAATCATTTAAAATCAAATCCACAAATTGTTTTCAATAACAGTGTATTTTAAGATGAATTTTAAAATGATTAGTTCAATAACACTGAATTTCAAGAGACTTTTTAAAATTCATGATTGAATAACACCGGATTTGTAAACTTTTTACAAATCACTTGAAATTCCACTTTCAATACACCCCCCTAAGAGTATTTTTACAAAAGGTACTCAAAAAAATCTTATTTTGCAAATCCCATCAATAAAACACTATAACCGGTATGTGAGAGTGCTTCTCTATTTTTTATTTCTAAGGGTTTTGTGCAAATAATCTTTTCAAATCGTCAATTTACGCAACTCTATTTTCCATATCAAAAAAATTGCAAAACAATCATAATAAGTCAATAATAATACGCCCTTATTATAAATAAATATATTTTCCTAAACGATTTTATGGTCACATACATTTATTTTTGAAAATTCTAAAAATATATCTGAGCTACACAACTGCTTGAGCTACAATCTTCCTTAGAATGGTAGGGGCCGGAGCATGTGACATACAGAGGTTTTATCCTTTATTAGTTTATTTCATTTTTGAAGTTGTTTTTCGCTTATATCTTGACTTTATTAATAATATAAAGCAAGTTGTCATGCCATATCCTTTAAGTGGTAGAAACTTAATGCTTGGTACGAGGAGGTGTGAGGTTCGTTTATTATTGTTCTATATAGAATTTTACTTACAGTACAGTATAACCTCTATAAATTAATACTCGATAAAATAATACTTTCTAAAAATTAATAAATTTCTTCCGTCCCAACTTGGCACCAGTGTAATTTTAGACACATTTCGATAAAATAATAAGATAATAATATTTTGAAAACCCTTTGCAAATATATGTTCCGATCAGTATTATAACTTAATAATTAGGTAAAATTTTCAAAATATATGTATATATAGACACATTAGTATTTGTTAGATTTTATTTTTCAATATTTTTTTTGAAAAACTTTCCAAATTAGGAAAATCTCTCGATAAATTAATAATTATTAATTTATCGATAAATTAAAACCTCTACAAATTAATAGATTTGCATGGTCCCAACGTTATTAATTTATAGAGTTTTTATTGTATTTGGTTTGTTAACTAAAGAACATAGAAGCAACTTACTACGGATTAACAAATTTAGGGTATTTCTGTTTGCATGCCTTACAGATCCTTAGACCTTGAATTGATGGTGTTTTTGGGTATCGCCTAATTAAGAGTATATATGCGAAATCGTTTGCCTGAAAAAATTACTTTAAATGCAAAGAACTGGTAATGAAACGGGAAATCAAAGTATATAACTAAGAAATGATAAGTTATAAGGAGAAAAAACCAAGAGGTTGTTACAAAGGCATTCGACTCTCAACGTGATTCGGGAAAGCATGGAGCGTAAACAGCCATCCTTTTGTAACCTCATTATTGAGTCTAGATGTGTCGTCTGCGATTCCTTTAAGTTCGAATCTCCTACAGCTTCTTTTCACCGGATCATGAAATAAAATATAACTCAAAGATTGAAGCCCGGATGATGCGTAAATAAACTCACCAGCATGACTGCAACCTTTTAGTTTTAAAACAGTTCTCAAACTTTCAACAAATAAACCAGCAGATGCAAAAACATCTTTACTCGACCACTTGTGTTTCTTTGCGTCCTCCAAAATGCACAATGTGGTACAACGCTCCCCTCTAACTTGACCACCCTTCGTGGTACGCATTTGAACACAAGCGAAACTCTCTTCATAAGTTAGAAAAATACTTCTATAATCAGTATCCGATGGTAACTGTATCATATCGAATTTTTCAGATCTGACATCAAAGCTCATTACAACCCAAACATGCGTTTGATAAACCTCGGCTATATAATATACAACCCCCTTGATGCATCGACCACAAGTCTGATTGTCAGAACGATGCTTATGCTGAGTTTTTACGGTTTTCCATGATTTTTGAGCTGATCCCAATGTTAGCACCCGACACACATCAGAACTTCTCTTAAGAGGAATGCACATTACTTTGTGTTTACATTCAACCGGATCATAACCTAAAAAGATTGTTAAGTCATTCCAGCTCAATCTCGGTTTTGGTAAAGGTAATAACTGTCTCGTGCTAGGGTTCCAAACTATAGGCGTTCCTGATACTTGAAAGCAGATCAAGCCATGGACAGATTCCGTAGGGGGGAAGCGACTATGTCCTCCTGGAAATTCCATATGATAGCGATAAATAGGCTGAGAACAAGAGTAAGACCTTTTGGAATTCTGAAGTGAATGAAGATGTTGCGGAATAGAGGCAACAAACAACTTTCTGTTTTCAAAGAAGCAAACCAAAAGACTTGGCTGTGGGGACCGAGTTTCGAACAGCTTGATGAAATATGGATCTTTGGTGATTGATAACCAAAGCTTCGACACGCAACGAAGCCTCGCAACAGATTTCTCAGGCAGCCTTGAGAGTATCTCTGAGATTAGATCTTCAGAAGTACCCCATCCAACTTTTGTTGCTCTTTTCCTAGGACCAATCCCTCTTTTGTATCTTTAACAACAAAACAATCATAAAATCGAGCTTAGTATAGTTAGTAACGTGATATGATTTTCATAATTCAGAAACAGCAGGGAGAGAGAGAGGACCAACAAAATCATACCCTCGAGCAAAGTTAATTGCAGAAGTAAGAGAAACTTGGGCGCTGGTATCAGTCTTTGATTCTGAACGATTATTCAAATCATTCTGTTGGAGACTTTTCTTGTTCTTTTCTTTGTGTGGCTTCTTCATCTTTAGTCGTCCGATCCAAAACCCTAAATTTTAAGGAAATCAGATTCATGGAGACAGCTCAAAAGGGAAATTTTCAAAAACCCAATTATCTTAGATGAGATTTATACCTGGGAGATGAAGCTTTAGCCTTGGCGATTGAGATGAAGCTCAAAAATTTTGTGAGATGAAGCAGCCTTCGTCGATTGAGAAGAAGAGAACTGATATTCTTGTTGGTTTATAATTGAGTTTGGTCTGATTATTTTATCTAATTAGATTAATTAATATGTCTTTAGTTACTTGAAGAGGTGTATACGAAAGGGTGTGCATTAACGGGTGTATATGATAGAGAGTTGTGTTGTTTCAAGTAGAAACGGTTTCGACCGTAAGACATGTATATATAAGTGTATGTGTGTTGTTGTAAAAAGTAACAAGTTTCACTATAATAAAAATTCAGTTTCTGTTCTTGTCTTCTACAAGAGAAGAGACAAAAGTCTCTTACTCTATTTTTTTCTTCTTCTCTCTCAAATATTCCAACATGGTATCAGAGCTTTATTGGTCTTAGGGCCTTTACAAGCAAAACAAAAATAAGAAGAAATCCGCTGCAAGTAAAAGAGAGATGGAGTCAACAAATTTATGGTGAGAAGAAGAGGAAGAAGAAGGAGTGGAAGAAGAAGAAGAAAGAAAGGAGGTGATGACAAGAGATAGCATCATCAACCTTCACAAACAGAATCATCAAGAAGAAGGCTCCAAAGGGATGATGAAGATAGGAAATCTTCTCAAAAGAAAATGGAGAAAACAGATGTGAAGTTAAAGTTGTGGAAGGAGGTTCTGAAACTTGTTCAACAAGACGTGAAGTTCACGCATAGAAGGTTATAAGAGATAACCGAAAAAGAGACGTCAAAAAGAGACGTTATGGTGATCAGAGGGAGACACCAAACACAAAAATGGAGGATGCTAACCTCAGAGAAAAATGAAGCAAAAGACGGTTACAAAGATAAACCGAAGACGATGTGAAGGAGATTCACGCGTTAGACGTCAGGGAGACGTTATTGTGATCAGAGGGAGACACCAAACACAAAAATGGAGGATGTTAACCTCAGAGAAAAATGAAGCAAAAGACGGTTACAAAGATAACCGAAGAAGATGTGAAAGAGTTCACACACCGATTTGGTGATCAAAAGGACACCAAGAAGAAATAAGAAGAAAGCTCACTTAAAACAAAGTGAATGAAAAAAGGTTGCAAGAACAACCGGAGAAGACGTGACAAAACACACATGGAGAAAGAAGGAAACATCATCAAGAGTAGATGATGGAAAATGGTTAGTTGACACAGATGTATTAACCACATGACCAAGGAGGTTTCATACTTCATCACTCTTGATAAGAGTATTAACATACTAATCAAAGTGGGGAATGGTCAACGAGTAATCACGGCAGGGAAAGGAAATATCCAAGTGATGACAAGCCAAGGAGAGAAGATCATCAAAGAGGTGTTTCTAGAGCCAGACGTAGCAAGGAATTTGTTAAGTGTTTCATTGTGGAGAGAAGCAACACACGTCAACAAGAAGTTGGACTGTGACATCATAAGAAGAAAATTTGGTTTTAGACCATAACTCAATTAAGGGGGAATGTTGGTTTATAATTGAGTTTGGTCTGATTATTTTATCTAATTAGATTAATTAATATGTCTTTAGTTACTTGAAGAGGTGTATACGAAAGGGTGTGCATTAACGGGTGTATATGATAGAGAGTTGTGTTGTTTCAAGTAGAAACGGTTTCGACCGTAAGACATGTATATATAAGTGTATGTGTGTTGTTGTAAAAAGTAACAAGTTTCACTATAATAAAAATTCAGTTTCTGTTCTTGTCTTCTACAAGAGAAGAGACAAAAGTTTCTTACTCTATTTTTTTCTTCTTCTCTCTCAAATATTCCAACAATTCTCAGTTTGGAAAACCTATCTAAACGATGACGTTTTATAATTTTAAGCTAATAAAAATATTTTGGGCCAACTCGTTTTAAGCCCGTTAATATTGTACAGTCCAGCTCGTTTTAAACTAGAAATATATATTTTTTTTTTTAAACAGGGCTTTAACCCGAAAATATTAAAACGAGTCGGGCCAAATCTGTAAATTTAAGCCCGTTTTAACATCCCTATATACATCAAATACTCTAGGTTTTCTTTTAAAAAAAGAAGATCATTTTCATATTTTTACGGGATACGTAAATGTATATGTAATGTTTTTGGAAAATTGGAAATTTGCAAATTTGTATGCATAAAATAACTATTCACAAAGACAAAAACAAAAACAAAAAAATTTCATAGATAAAAGATATTGTAAAAAACTATAAAATAAATATAAAACAAAAAATGTATAAGAGTTCTTCATTTTAATTCAAAGACCTCAAAAAAAAAAAGAGGCAACTTACCCATTAATAATGAGAAATTTTGACTCTATGTAAACAATGTTCCCAACTCTTGGCTCAATTGAGTCTATTTATAAAAGCTGTTGATGTAAAAAAAAATGAGAAATTTTGATTAATTTAATTCCCTTTCTGAGATACCTTTTTGCAAAAATACCATTTTGTCATTTTTATTTTTATCCTCTTTTACATCATTAAATATGTTAAACTTTTTTTTTTTTTTTTATGTTTCCTCCAAAGCTTGGCTTGCTTGGCCTCATGGTCAGCTCTGCTTTTATGTCGTGTTGATCTCTTAAACTTCGAAACAAGATATATATGCGTAATCTTGGTGCAATTCACTTTTAGGTCCCAAAAAAAGTAATAAAAATACATCAATATGTATTGAACGGTTGATGATGTTGAATTTATAAAATGCAGTAAAGAAGTGGCAAGGGATGAATATGAAACTTACAATATATATAGAGATTATTTAAATGATCATTCTTATTAAGGGGTATAGAAACCAAGAAGTTAAACTAAATTACTAATATAAAGTTATTTGACTATCAACGTGATCCGGGAAAGCATGGAGAGCATAAATACGTCTGTTTGAAACTCCATCAGCGATTCCTTCAAGTTCGAATCTTCTAAAGCTGTTTTTAATTGGATCACAAAACAAAATATAATCCATCTCACGAAACGTGGATGATACGTAAACAAACTCACCATCATGAGTGTAACCCTTTAGTTGGAAATAGTTTCTCAATCTATCATCAAAGCAACCACCAGTAGGTGCAAGAACATCTTTCCTAAACCACTTGTGTTTCTTTGCGTCCTCCAAAATGTACAATCTATTACCATGCTTCCAATTCGGGATGAGTCTACCATCTAACGTGACACAACTTTCAACACAAGCTAACCTACCCTCATAAGTCATGAACACATCCTTACTAATATTCTCTGATGGTACTTGCAACATATCGAATTTTTCAGATCTAACATCAAAGCTCATTATAACCCAAACATGAGTATGATAAATATAGGCTATATAGTATACAACCCCCTTGATGCATCGACCAGAAGTATGATAATTAGAACGATGAGTATGGTAAGTTTTTACGGTTCTCCATGATTCTTGAGCTGATCCCAATGTTAAAACCCGACACACATCAGAACTTCTTTTTCGAGGTATGCACATTACTTTGTGTTTACCTTCAACCGGATCATATCCTAAAAAGATTGTTAACTCGTTCCAGCTCAATCTCGGTTTGGTTAAAGTTAATATCTGTCTCGTGCTAGGGTTCCAAACTATCGGCGTTGCTGATACATTAAAGCAGATTAAGCCATGGACAGATTCCGTAGAAGGGAAGTTACTATGTCCTGCTGGGGTTGGGAATTTCATATGATAACGATAAATAGGCTGAGAAATAGAGTAAGACCTTTTGGGAGTCTGAAGTGAATGCCGATGTTGCGGAATCGAGGAAACATACAACTTTTCTTGTTCAAAAAAGCAAACCAAAAGACTCGGCTGTGGGTTTCGAACAACTTGATGAAATATGGATCTTTGGTGATTGATAACCAAAGCTTCGACACACAACGAAACCTCGCAACAGATTTCTCAGGCAGCCTTAAGAGCATCTCTAATGTTAGATCTTCAGAAGTCCATCCAACTTTGGTTGATTTTTTCGTAGGAACAATCCCTCTTTTGTATCTTTAACAACAAAACAATCATAAGATACGTTAGTGACGTATAAAATTCTTAAAACTGATAACAATCATAAGATACAATGTTATATCATCTCCAATGCTCATTATAAACGACCAATTCACCCCTTCAAATCAATACATCATAAGTCGCCACAATGATTCATCACAAATTCACATGTTTAAGGGATTTGTAAATAATGCTATGTGACGTTGTTTCTCTTCTTTGACACCTAAAAAGTAAAAACCCTAATATATTTCCATGATTAAAAACTATTCCTCAACAATCATAAAGATCTAGGCATTTGATTTTGAGGTCTTCTCGAAGAGAGTTTTCAAAATTAAAGAAATTTATCTAAAATATAAATTGATTAATAATGATCAATAATTTATTTATTATGAAATATTTTTGTTTTAATATTTAGTTTAGAGAAATTCCTCCGAATATCATACTAAGTTTTTCACCAAAAACACCATTAAATTAATTCATTTTTTTCAAAATTACCGCAAAAGTTTCGTTTTTCCAAAAAAAAAACTAAATATACAATACCTTATTTTCAAGGGTGTAGTGAAATCAGGAATGATTTATTTTTTTCAGTTAATTATATAAATATTGAAAATTTTAATTTGATAGTGGTGTGATTTCTTTGGCCTTTTAATTAATTGTGTGATTAAAATATAGTTTTTAATAAATAAATAAAATGACAAATGCCAAGAGGGTGAAAGTGAAACATTTCTTTTATAAATAGTTTTTTTTTTTTTTCTTATATCTTAAGAAGACAAAACAGAGTTAATATGGCACAGGCGGAGAAAAATCTGCAACCTATGGATACAATTCCAGTTGACATGTTGATCGAGATCTTCATAAAGTTGCCCGCAAAATCTTTAGCCAAGTTCGTTTGCGTATCGAAGTTATGGACCAAAATCATCCGCGGTCAAGATTTTATCAGAGCCTTCTCGTTTCATTCACCCCTACAGAATAAGCATCTAGTATTTAAGGATGTGTTTAAGAACTCAAATTATAAAGAACACCTTTCTTTATTAGCTTTAGAAAACTCTCTCAAAAACTAAAGCTCTCAATCTCTCAAACTCATACATTATGTCATGTCTCGACATGTGTATTTATATGAAAGCAAACACTCCTAATCCTATTAGAAAACCACTTATTAGATAACACCAAAACCTAATAATCCTTATCTCTAATAAACCATATCTCGGTTTAGGATTAGGTAGATTCCTTCTCAAGTCATCCGGTCAAGCTTAAACCAACATTCTCCCCCTTAAGCTTGAACTCTTTCATCTCCAAGTCTTGAACTCCAATGAAATCTCTCATTTCTTTGAACTTGACTCTACCAAGAGCTTTGGTAAGTATATCCGCCTTTTGCTCCTCTCCCGGAACATGCTTCACTTCTATTTGCTCATTCTCCACGCATTCCCTTATGAAGTGATACCTCCTATATATATGCTTGCTACGACCATGAAACACCGGGTTCTTGGTAAGAGCTATTGCTGACTTATTGTCAAGGAATATACTAACTTTCTCACATGGTTGACCTGTGATCTCATTGAGCAAGTCTTGAAGCCAAATAGCTTGTTTTGCTGCCTCAGTCCCTGCCATGAACTCAGCCTCACAAGACGACATTGCCACTGTTTGTTGTTTGTGTGTACTCCAAGAAATTGGAGCTCCTCCAAGATAGAATATGTAACCGGCTGTACTTCTACCATCATCCGGGTCGATATTATGGCTTGCATCACTAAAGCCGACAAGCTTTGGCACTTTAGAAGCAGACTTCTCAAACACCAAGCCAAACGAAGTAGTTCCTTTTACATATCGAAGACATTGCTTGATCGCAGCACCGTGTGATTCCTTTGGATCTTGCATATATCGGCTCAGTACTCCTACGCAATAGGACAGATCCGGTCTTGTGTGTAACAAATACCGAAGACAACCAACAGTTTTCCGATACTTTGTAGCATCGATTCCTTTTTCGCCATGTGACTTTGCTAGTTTTAGACCCACTTCCATTGGAGCATGAGCTAGATTACAATCTCTCATCCCAGCATCTTCAAGTATCTTTAATGCATATCGTTTCTGGTTTAACATTATTCTGCCATTAAGTTGTCTCACTTCAATTCCGAGGTAATAGGTCAATCTTCCAAGATCACTCATCTCAAACTTCAACGACATTTCTTTCTTGAATGACTCTATGACTTCTTTATTTGTCCCAGTGACAAATAGATCATCAACATAAACCGCTATAAGAAGTAAGTCTTTACTTGTCATCTTTCGATATACCGATGGTTCCTTAGAGCATTTTTCAAACTTAAGTTCTTTGAGTACTTGGTTTAGCTTTTCATTCCAGGCCCTTGGTGCTTGTCTCAACCCGTACAACGCCTTCTTGAGTTTATAAACTTTGTCTTTACAATCACTTTCCTCAAAGCCTTCTGGTTGTGTGACGTAAACTGTTTCCTTTAACTCGCCGTGAAGAAAAGCCGTTTTGACGTCGAGATGATGTATCTCCCATCCACTTGTAGCAGCGAGGTTAATAAGCAAACGAATTGTTTCAAGTCGAGCAACTGGTGCAAAGACCTCATCAAAGTCGATTCCGTGTTGTTGTACGTACCCCTTTGCAACAAGCCTGGCCTTATGTTTATTAATGCTCCCGTCGGAATTACGTTTAAGTTTAAAAACCCACTTGAGACCAATCGGCTTCACACCACTTGGAAGATCTACGAGATCCCAACACTGGTTCTTAATGATCGATTGAATTTCATCCTCACAAGCAAGTATCCAGGCTTTCGATTCCTTAGCTTCGGAAAAATCTCGAGGTTCGTCGTTTAAAGTAAACAGGAGTCTCTCCCCTTCTTCTTCTGCGAACAGGACATAGTCGTTAAGATACTTAGGTTTGTGAGTCTCTCTTTGTGATCTTCTCAACACTACTGGCTGCTGTTCTTCATCGTTTTCTATATCATGCTCAGCCGAACTTTCAGATTCCGTTTCATCAAGCTCTTCACTATCCTCTTTGTCTTCTTCTACGGTTTCATTATTTTGCTCTGTTTCCCCTGTTTCTAGGATCCCATGATTCCCATATTCTCCAAAAGCAATAACAAAGTTGTCATTAACACCTCCTGCGGAATTTGTACTCCAATTCCAACCTTTTGTTTCATCGAACACAACGTCCCGACTTACTATTATTTTCTTGCTTTGTGGATCTAGTAGTCGATAGGCCTTTGATCCTGGTTCAGTACCGAGATGAACCAACATTCTTGATCGATCATCAAGCTTCCTTAGATGTGGTTTCTCGACTTTGGCATACCCAATGCATCCGAAGATACGTAGGTGATCGATGTTTGGCTTCTTGTCTCGATACATCTCATAAGGTGTTTTATCCTTAACAGCTCTTGTAGAGATCCGGTTCAACAGGTATGTGAAGTGTCTTATGGCTTCTCCCCATAGGTAATTCGGCATGTGCATATGCTTCATAATGCTTCTTGTCATCTCCATCATTGTTCTGTTTCTTCTCTCGACCACACCATTTTGTTGTGGAGTGTAAGGAGCAGTAAGGTGTCGTTTTATTCCATTTTCTTCGCAGTAGGTATTAAACTCATGTGACACGAACTCTCCACCTCTATCTGTCCTAAAGACTTGTACATGCTCTCCTGTCTCTTGTTCCACCTTGATTTTAAACCTTTTAAACTTGTTGAATGCTTCTCCTTTTTATTTGCACAAAGCTGTCCACATGTATCGAGAGTAGTCGTCAATAAGAACAAAGATATACCGGTTTCCTGCCATTGTGCTTGGTGTTATTGGTCCGCAAAGATCGCCGTGAATGAGCTCAAGTTTCTTTGAGGCACGATACGATGTAGCTTGGGGAAACACTTGTCTGGTTTGCTTCCCTAGTAGACATGAGCCACAGACTTCCTTCTCAATGGTGACTCGAGGGATTCCATCAACCAGCTCCTTTTGTATCATGTTCTGTAGTGACTCTAGATTGACATGTCCAAGTCGTGCGTGCCATCTGCTTGAATCGGTGATTGTTGTAAGGAGCAAACGTGTTGTGTCTTTGATCCCCATTCGTACCTTGTATAGTCGGTTTCTTGATCTACACGCTTTGACAAGTAACTTTCCTTCGTGATCATGCATCGTGAGGTTTTCTCCTTTCATTCGTATATCGCAGCCCGTTTCCGTTGCTTGACCAAGACTGATAATATTACTTTTTAGATCCGGAATGAAGTAAACATTTTTCATCACCCTTTGGTCTCCATTCCTATCAATGAAAGAGATCGAGCCTTTTCCTTTGATGTCGATTCTCGAGTCATCCCCAAAACGTACTTTTCCGGTGATGGAATCATCAATCGTAGTAAAATATCTTCGGTCGCCAGTCATGTGGTTACTAGCTCCATTGTCTAGATACCAAATGTTCTCCTCACCGGTGTTTGTCTCGTACTTGCTTGGTATGCAATTCTTCTCATTCAAGTAGACAACCTCATGCATTAAGAGTTCGTCAGCATCTTGGGTTTCTTTGTTGTCTTCTTGGGTTTCTTGTAGCTTAAGTAACCTATCCGGGCAGCTTGATGCATAGTGACCTAACTTGTCACAACGGAAACATGTGACTTTGGATAAGTCTCTTGGTTCGTAGGATCGTCCACGACCTCTACCTCTTCTTCCTCCACGTCCTCTGCCTCTATATTCTCCATTGTAGTCCCGACTGTTTGTCACAGAAGAATCCGAGTTTGCATACATGAGCTTGCTTTGGTCTTCCTGAGACTCGTCCTCATCATCACCGACGCGTTCTTCAAAAGCTTTTAGACGACCTATGATCTCTTCAAAACTTGTAGTCTTAAGGTCCAAATATTGTTCAAGGGATGCGACCATATGTATATACTTCTTACGAGGAAGGCATTTAAGAAACTTTTTAACCAGTTTAGGTTCTTCGATGTTTTCTCCTAATGAGGCCGATTTTGAAGCTATCTCGGATATCCTTCCCACGAAGTCATCGATAGTCTCAGAGTCCTTCATCTTGAGACGGTCAAAGTCGGTCATTAGGGTTTGAAGTCTAGCCTCCTTGACCCGTTCTGCACCCATGTACCGCGTTTTGATTGCTTCCCAGACTTTCTTTGCTGTATCAAGCGTCCCTACTTGTAGAACAAGTGTCTCCGGTATCGATTGAACCAATAATGTTGTCGCCATGTTATTTTTCTCAACGTCCGTCGTCTCTTCTTCGATGGTCTCCCAAACCTTGTGAACCTTTAAGCAAAGCGTCATCCGGATTGCCCATACCGTGTAATTGGTAGATGTTAACATAGGACATTGGATGGAAGATGGTCCTTCTTTCTGTTTTGCCGTTGTCGGTACAAGATCACCCATGGTGTAGATCAAGAGAAATTGTGATTTTTATCTTGATTTTAACACCTTAAGCTCTGATACCAATTCTAGTATTCAAGGATGTGTTTAAGAACTCAAATTATAAAGAACACCTTTCTTTATTAGCTTTAGAAAACTCTCTCAAAAACTAAAGCTCTCAATCTCTCAAACTCATACATTATGTCATGTCTCGACATGTGTATTTATATGAAAGCAAACACTCCTAATCCTATTAGAAAACCACTTATTAGATAACACCAAAACCTAATAATCCTTATCTCTAATAAACCATATCTCGGTTTAGGATTAGGTAGCTTCCTTCTCAAGTCATCCGGTCAAGCTTAAACCAACAAAGCAGCCTAGCCTCCTATTGGCTTTCAAAGACCAAGTAAAAGGTTATCAAGAACATTGGTACTTTTTCTCCAAAACAACTCCACTGTATGAGCAAAACTCACTGGTTCAAAACATTAATGAAGTTGTAAACGAGGAACCTAAACCTAAAGCATCTGATTTTGTATCAAGTATGGTATGTCACTTGAAGGAAATGCGATACCAAAAACCTAGCTACGTCCATGGGTTGATTAGCTTTTTATATGGGCAAGAACAAGTCATATGTAATCCCAGCATAGGTAAGTCTATAACCTTACCCGCTATGGAATCAAGTGAAAAAATCATTAGAAGCTTTCTTGGATATGAACCAATCCATGCACAACATAAAGTGTTGTGTTTGACCATTGCTAAACCGTTTTGTGGACTTAAGGTTCTCACATTGGGAACTCAGAATTGTTCATGGAGAATGGTCCAATGTAGCACTCCTCACTATCCTGGAACCATCTATGTGTGCATAGAAGGTGTTTTATATTACAGTGCTTCCACTAGTAATTGGACCGTAGATGAGACACTCTTGGTGAGATTTGATTTGGTGTCTGAAAGTTTGGAGATTGTGTCTGTATATCCGGAGGGCCTTAAATCGTTGAATGAAACTAGTTTAATAAACTACCATGGAAAAGTAGCTGTTGTCTCTAGATTATTCCCTAATTATCACGATTTCAATTTGTGGGTTTTAGAGGACGTCAAGAAACAACTATGGTCAAAAGAACAACACATATCTATTGATACTGGTGTTACTTGTAAATTCTATGAACGTTTAGAAATCTCGGGAACTTCTGATATGGGAGAGATTATCTTTGCACCCAATAAGTTTGAAGATTTTGTTGTAATTTACTTCTTGGATCTCAAACGCAGCAAGGTTAGAAGTGCTAAGCTCGAAGGAAACACCAAGCATAAGTTTTGTGGTTTTTATAAAGTATTTACTTTCTTGCATTACATAGAGAGTGTTATGTTAATTTAGTGAGAGAGAGAGAGAGATCCAAACTGATTATATTTGTTTGTTTTCAAATAAAAGATCTAGTTTAACCATGCTACATTTTTTCTTACCTGTTTTAATGTCTATGTTTGTAATTTAAGGCTCTGAATCATTCCGTATAAGATCAATGAGATGAGACTGGCCTAATCTCATCATGGCCATGTACAACTTCTAGTAATACAATAATTTTTGACTATATAAATTGTATAAATAATAATTTATGTTACATTATATACTTGTATGAAACTATGAGTCAGTTTGCCAACAAAAGAGAAAGGCTATCTTAAAAAGATTCGGACCAAAGCCCATATAAAAAACACAGTCGGTTTTGTTTGTTACCTGTTCTACAAGCAAAATCTATACTTGCATCGTTTAAATATTCAGTTTAACCCCTCAGAACAAAATTACGTAAACCCTAGTAAGTCTTCACCATATCTCTAGAGATGATAAGAGCGAGGATCCTTCAACAACAGTCTAGGCGTATTCTCGCTAATTATGGTATCAAAAACTGTTTGAGTACTCGTCGCACCTACCAAACCGTATCGGCTATGAAGGCGCATCTAGAAAGATGGCGTCGGGACCAAGGGGATCAAGTGATGCCGTCTTACGTCAGAGGTGTCTAAAGGATTTTCATGATTTTCATCAGTTTCGTTATGCACTTGAGGTAATTACTTAATTATTTCAAACTTTGAACTCGCATACGTACGTACGTTATCTTTCTTTTGCAAGTTCTATCTATATAGAATTTGATATGAACTTTTGTAATATGTCAGGCATCGGAGTGGATGTGTGAAGAAAAGGTCTTTAATATTTTTTCGAAAGACTATGCAGATCGGCTTCAACTGGTTGATATAGTTCTTGGTTTAGAAGAAACGGAGAAATTCTTCAAAACCATACCCGAAAACATGAGGGATTACTCTGTCTACGACAGTCTCTTGACATGTTACGCTAAATCTCCGAAAACACTAGATAAAGCTGAGGCCACATTTGAGAAGATGAGAGATCTTGGTTTCCTCTTTAAACCTTCCCCGTTCCAATCGATGATTAATCTCTACGGTCGGGTCAATAAAAAACATATGGTCAAGAAGCTTGAACGTGAAGCGATTGAGAACAATGTGCATATGAACAAGAATACAGATGTTTTGAGTTTATGCAGGACTTATAAAGGAGGTATGTACTCTGTATTGAATCATATTAAGAAGAGAGGAAAGATGATGGATGATGAATGTCTAAGTAGGATAAGCTATTTGTTGGAGATTAACGATTTACAAGGAGCAGAGAAGTTATTTGAAGAGTGGAAACCGGTAGGAACTGAGCTAGATATTAGAATACCGAATTTGCTGATTTCTCGGTTTAGTGCGGAAGGGAATAGATCCAAGGTTGTGGAATTGGTTGATTCTACAAGAAGAAAGATGGTTGAGATGCATTTATGGACGCTAAAATTTTGGTCGACTGTTTTGGTGTTTAGTGGTGGCCTTCTTGTAACTGTGGGTTACATTGTTGGTTGCAATGTGTGGCTCCTTAGAGAGTATCCTATTATAAGTGTGCCATTTTGTTTGTATCTCGTTCTAAAGCACCCCATTATGTTTGGTTCCCTTTGCTATTATGTAGTCACTAGATAAAATCCCCACGGCTGTTACACTTATTTTCTCATCAGATTTTTATGGAGATTCATTACATTTAGTAGGTTATGAGCTCTCGAGATTTCGCGGGGAACTGTTCAAACTGAACATGGTTTTTTTTACTCTTTATCGGCTTTTTCTTTTACATTATATTTCCATTGAAAATATTGTACTGGCCGCTTTTACTATTTGCTATTTTATCAATGCTCATGTCCTCTAAAAGCTTCTTTTTGGATGCATCATCCATTTTGTTAAGAGATTCCTGTTTTTGTATTATACAATATTGAGTAACACAACATTGTATCTAAACGCATTCTATAAAATGAGATACAAATGCAGAACATGTGTAAAATTAACACAAAAATAACATGTAACTAATTAATGATCAAGTCGTTTCATGTAGGTTCAAATTTGTGGCGAAGTGATCATAGGGTTTGGGTGTTGCATCTAAAATTTAGATGGCTTTTGTGTCGTACTGCTCACTTTAACTTCAAAATAAGGTATATGCGAATCTTGGAGCAATTCATGTTTTTTTTACCAAACTGTTAATGAACCAATTTATAATTACATAGTAGGCGATTCTATTCATTCATTGAGTTTCTGATTATGAAAAGCTGAATTATACATTGGGACTGTTCTAGGCACCATAGGCAGAAGAAGAGCTGAGCAACCTGAACCAAAACCAAGCTTGTCTTTGAATTGTCCACGACACTTTCCTTTAAACTGAGCAACTAACCTCAAGTGCTTCAGCTGATTTCTTGTTTTAATTTTTGACATTCAAAGGATCACATAGCCATCCATAAATACAACATCCACGTAAACACCACATACCACATTCACAAATTAACATGCGGATGCTACTTACCATCTTTATTCATAACACTTTGACCATACATAATCTTCTTTATTCAACTCTAACACATTTTACATGGTATGAAAACATTTTTCAAAGAAACTAGAAAACTAATATTCAGTTTTCAACTTTTAAGACAATATTTCTTTCATATAAATTCTACAATAGACTAGTTGGTTAAAAATACACAAAACGTAACAAACTCCCAAGAACATGGAACGTGGGTAGAGAAACACATTCCCACTACTATGACACTGCACATGCATTTCTAACTATAAACTATCCAAGACAAATTTCAAAATCAACCAAAATATGACATTTGATCTCTAAAACTCGTTTTATCCAAGAAGTGCAATCCACAAAACTGAAGTCCACAATTATATGACCACAAAAGCTACGTTTGCTAAGGCTTGTCCACAAAACAACACTTTAACACATGGCTGGATTGACAATTCCGACGACTTTGTTGGAGAAGAAAGGTGTTCATATGGGGTGGGTTCATCTGCATTATCTGTATCCGGACTACGTTGGAAGCCGAGGGGGAACAGATTGAGGTTTTGAAAAAAATTAAATTATACAGTGGATACCTTTCATCGTTGTCCGGACTGTTGCATAGTACACGGCGGCTGGGGTTGGGTATAACGCAAAATGTAGGGAGAACGAATAAAGAGGTTGAATTTCCAACTCGAATCTAGCGATGGTGTGTTTACAGAGAGGAGGATTTGGGAAGTTCCAACTATAAGTCCGCCGTTTAGAAAGAGGGGCGGAGAGAGAGTGAATATGGAGGAGGTAGGGCTTTTGGTAATTGAGGAGATAAAATCTTGTTATAATTGAGTTCGGACGATCGTAAAAAAAAAAAAAGTTATAGTAAATTTATTAAAAGGAAAACACAAAACTAACGAGAGTTTAGTTGACAAAATAGTATTAGTTAGAAGGGTATAATTGTTAAATCACAAGAAAAAACGGTGCTCCGGACAAAAACGGTGTCATATGGTAATATGAAAGACACATACGGTGTTTGTGTGCAAATTTTTCTTGTATTTATCATCTGTAACTTCATGGGACACTTTATGCCAAAATTTCCTAACAATATATAATCACATATATTGTAAATTATTATTAAAAAAAACTTGTAGAATTATTGAAAAGGGACTTATGAAAATCCTTGTAAAAAAGACAAAAGAGATGAAGAACACACAAGGTCCTTCAATTACAACAACCAAAATTGTTCCATAAACTTCTTGAAATTAAAAACATAGTTCCGAAATGTTTGTCTATTTGACATAGTTCCGGGGAATTCTAGGCCGGAGTTCATATTTTTCCCTTGGATCTGCCTCAATCTTCATCTTCTTATTCTCTCTTTCTTCTGAGAGCATCAAGAGAGTAGCCGAAGCCTTCATCTCTTCATATCTCCTCTTTCGATCTGCTTGAAGGGCCTCCAGTTTCTTCTTGAAAGCAACCAAGTCCTCCAATTCTACTTTCTCCATCATCTTGGACTTCTCAAGTTCTTCTTGGTTCCTCTTCCTCAACAACTAAAATTTACAAAATAATTCTAAACATAAGAAATAATAATCATAACATATATATGATAACTAATGGTTTACAGATACCTCCTCATGCATTTCGAGTTGTTCCAATTCTTTCATGAGATTACGTTCAACATTTTTGATGAGGCTTGGTTTACCGAACGTATACGGTGTATTAGTCGGGGAGACGAGGAGAACGCAGACTTCAACATCAGGTATCTTTGAGAGTTCATCAGCCTTCTCGAAAATGCTACATTGACGTCTACGAAAAGTAGATAGCCTTGATCTTTCGTTCTCGATGAATTTGATCTCTCTCTTCGGACGAGGAGCCATTTCTTAAATTTAGAGAGATGTTTTTTGTGGTGTTGTGTTGCTCTTCTTGTTACTACTCTACTCCATATTTATAGATGGATTGGGTCAAGTATAGGTTAAGTTCACTCTTATCTTTGATATACATTTCTTTTTTAATTTCAATTAAATATTTAGAAAGTTTAATTCAATTTTTTTCTAAGACTTATCTTCATATTTTAGAAAGAAATAAAAATATTTTGTATATATAGATTACATCCCTTTTTGGTGAAATCTCAAAATTACATTCTATATGTACAAAATTTAGTCTTTAAATGAAAATCCACGCGCTCAAACATGCGCGTACAAGCCACGACATATCAAACATTCTTTTCCACGACGTATCACCTGGGTTTGAGTAGCATTGGCCACGGAGGTTCGAGATTTAACATTGTCTCCTCCGGCCCCAAAGGATTAGCCTCCGGCCCCAAAGGATTAGTCTTTGGGCCTAGAAAGCTTTTGGGATCAATTATGAGTTATAAAAAAAAAATCCTCAAAAAAAAAAATTCTAAATAAAATCTGAGAAAAATATTATATTTTCCTATCTAACTCATGTTATAGAACTGCCGTATACTTTTTTATTATATTTTATTAATAGAGAATCATAAACTCGAATAGAGAAAACAAATTGTACTCATAAGTTTGCTTACTACTATTACATTTGGTTTTAAGTTGAGGAGTATTTTGAAAATACAAGAATAGCGCCTAACGATTTATTAATCAAGGGTATTTTCTATGGCATATTTCAAATTCATTACCTTCATTACTTTATATTTGATTCAAAACAACAACAAAAATATTAAACAACTTAAAGATATTAGAATAGAAACTCTTTGAACTGACAAAGAGGACAAGGAGTCCACAAGAGGTTGTCCACGAAATTGAAGCACTATCAATTAAAATACGATAACCAATCTCAACTTAACGTATAAAATTCAGTTTAAAGGAATTTTGAACAAAAACTAAATGTGTCTCCTTTTTCTTATTATTTGGTGTGTTTCTCACCACTATTTGAAACGTAAAATTGTATTGATATAAATGAAATATTTAAAAAGAATTTGAAGATATGATGTTCATTTTGGCTTAGTCAACAAAAAATAATGTTTTAAAAATTAAGTCAGCGAAAATTTCATGTTTTGAATGACTATATAGAAAATTCATGATTTAAATAGTTTAAATTCGAAAGTTCGTGAATTAAATGGTATTTTTCTCGTTAAAAATGCCTTTACCCATATATCCTACGGTGATATGGTCTTAAAAAGTGATATATCATGAAAGTTGAATGTGCTAAAGTCAGACTTAGACGTAAGCTTCTTAACTAAGACCATTGCACCATGTAATTAATTAAGCTCACTTATGTGTAATGGGCTTTGTACTGTTTTGTGTTTTAGAATACAGTTAATCCTAAATATAGTTGTATTATTATTGAAGATGGTGGTAAGAAAAAGATAAGGAAGTAGCGAGAAAGTAATTTTAAAAGCGGATAAAACTCTTTCTTCAGTAATCACTACAAATCAACAGTATCATATCATTAGTTGTTGTAAATTCACTCCCAACAGTATGAGTACATATGTAATAATGTAAGCAATGTGTAAAGAGCAGATTTCAATCTGTAGAATTTCAAAAGTGTCGTTTTATACCTCAACTTTAATGCATGCCAATTTCAACCCAAACTAGATATTTTCAAATAAACTACATGAGCTACCAAATTTATGACGAAATCAACATTACATTAACCAAATTGAAAATGATCAACTATGATGAGTGAAATGACATATGTACAATGTTTGCTAAGTCAGAATATGTACAAATTATGTTGAGTTAGATGACACATGTAAAAAAAAATTAAGAAATGTTTTTCTTAACTAAGTTTAGAGCAAATAATACCAAATTCTTGAAAATTGTTACACGAACCAAATAGATAACTAAATCTAAATTTTATACATATATATATATATATATATTCATTACTAAACCAACTTACTCTTAGTGTATATAGGATTGACACTATAAAAAATGATAGTGTCTAAAATCTTAATTTATTATTATTATTTTCTTTTTAAAAAACCCAACCCGTCAATTAACTCACCGAGGGGTGGTCTTTGTATAATACATAGATGTCATCTATTTACAGAAGAAGGAAATAAATCTTAATAGTGTGAACTTCTAAAAATGAAGATGCGGAGAAATAAATGAGTTCACACTATTCAATCACTCAGCTGTTTCTCTTCATCTTCTCTTTAAATCTCTATGCGTTGTATATTACAGTCACA